TAATTGAAAGAATTAGAGGTAAGACAGAATGTAGGGTTGCGGATGAGAAGGAGGTTTTTTGATTGGGGGAGGGGATGTGTAGATAGGTGTTTAATTGAAGCATTAAAGTGAACAGATTTAGATAAAGATAGGGGAAATTTTTTTGCTTTATGGATTTAGAAAAGGTTGAAGGTGGAAGGGAGCAATTGGCAGATTTGCAAGTATATGGAATAGGGGGTAAGTTATTAAATGGTAAAGAGTTTTTATGAGGATATGAGGCTCAGGGTTAGGGGTGTAGAAGAGAGGGGTACTTCCCGGGAAAAATAGGTCTTGACAGGGGTGTGTAATGTTTCCCCGGTTTTTTTTAAAATATTTAAGATGGGGGTTTTAAAGGAAATAAATGCTAGGTGTTTGGGAGAGGGGGGGGGGATTAAATTAGGGGGAAACAAATTCAAAAAAGGGAATTGACCAGTTACTTTTTGCTGTGATACGTGTTATGGGAGATTCTAAAGAAAAAAATTTAAAGGTTAGTGGATGAGTTTGGGAAAGTGTGTAAAAGGTAAAAGTTGGGAAATGAACTAGAAATGTAATTTTTAAATTTGCATCCCTTTTTTTCAGTTTGTGTGTTTTAAAAATTAACATTTCATGGGGTAAAAAAAATTTTTTTCATACTTTTGGGCGCTTGCACGGAAAATTTTTTTCCCTTTATTTCTTAGGGGGAAAATTTTCTTCGCAAAACGATTTTTTCGCAAAACGAGAGCCCTCTTGCAGGTTTAAATCGTTAACCGGGGGCCATGTATAATTTTTTATATATATGGGGGGCCCCCCTGGGTGTCGGTTGGTAGACAGCGACCGCCCAGGGAGGTCTACCGCCCCTCCCAATGGTGTAAAATGAAGCCTGTAATTTTTTACATGATGGTAGGTTTGCTGGTGTCTTTTTTTTTTTTTTTGTTATACACTGCAAGATTTCAGGTATGCTTGCTATTCTATTTCCCCTTAGGTCACACTACAATACTTACAAGTATGTATATCCCAAAAACCCCTTTGGGTTTTCTTCTATTTTTTTTCTAGTTTTTTTCTTTTTTTATTTCCTTTTACTCCAGGGGGAAAAGTGGAACAGAATTCTTCCCCCGTAAGCCATGCGGTTGAAAGAGGCGTAAAATGCCGGGACAAGGGGTAGTAACCCTTCTCCTGTAATATTCTAAATGTAAAAGGAGAAACTTCTTTTTTCCTTTTGGGCCACCCCGCTCAGTGGGTACGCCCGGTTGTTGAAAGAAAGAAAAGTGGGGGCTTCCCCTAGGTAGTCGGTTGGTAGACCGACCGCCAGGGAGGTACTACCGCCCTGCCAAGTGAGTGAAAAACGAAAGCCTGTTTTATTTTATTTATTTTTTTAATAATTTAAATACTGGGGGTACAAAAAAAAACAGGTAAGGCAGCATCCCCAAACCCATTTGTATGCATAGCATTACAGGTGGTTTAAAAATTAATTAAAGATTAACTAAGCATGATTAATCAGTGATAAAACATTATTGTAAACAAATAACAATAAAGCACAAATGAGTTTACAAAGAAGGTCATAGGTTGCATGCATTGGTAATTCGTAAAAGGGTTTCCGTTAGGTAGTGTATTTAAATAATAACAAATTTTGATTGGGTCTTGGGTTTTTTAACATTTATGTGTAAAATTTGGAAACTATAGATAAACAATTTATAAGATTCAGTTATTCAGTATTTATTTGGTTTTGGGTGAGTAAGGATCTTTGGAAGAGACTTAAATTTTTATAAAAGGTAGTTTTCTTTTATATTTACAGGTAAAAAAACCCAGTTTTTAGGGCCTTTTATGTGCATTGGTTTTTGCATAGCGTAGAGGACATGGGGAACAAAGAGGATTTTGTGCCTTTGTTTTTGTGGTCTGTGTTCTTTGAGGTTTGGCAAGAGTGTTTGGGGGAGGGTTAATATCAGAGTTAAGTGTTCTATGTATGAAATAGGTGCGAAATAAGTAGGGATGTTTTTTTGGGTGAGTAGGTTGTTGGCCCCATGCCAAATTCCATAGGTGAGATAGGGGTAAAAAAAGAGAGGTTTTAAAGGGCAGGGGGCTGACTGTGGAACTAGTACCTTTCTTCGTAGTATGCCTAGGGGTTTTGGGAAATTTTCTTAAAAATTTGTTGTAAATGTGTAGAAATTTGAGTCATTATCAAGGTGGTTTTCCTAAGAATTTTTCCTTTTTAGCTTTTTTTGTGGTGTTGTTTATCTTTTTTTTAAAGGTACATCTGTAGTCTTTTACCAACCTGAAGAAGTAGGTTTTGTCAATGTTTATGAAAGTTTTTGTCCTCACCCAGGTAGATTTTTTTCTGTAATTCGGTATTTACAGTATTGGCTAGCGTGATGGGCTCGGGTGAGAGAAGACGTGTGGTGTCATCTGAAAATGGGTTGGGTTTGAGTAATTGCGAAGCATTTGGTAGGTCTTTTATTTTAAAAAGAAAGAGAAGAGGCCAAGGACATTCCTGTGGGACCCCAACTGTAATTGGTTGTGGGGAAGATTTTTTCCCCTTTGCGTGCACTATTGGTTTTTTGCTGAGGTATGATTGGGGTGTTGAGGGAGTGCCTCTTTCCATAGTGTGAAAATTTTTATGTGGAGAAGTCATGGTCAACAGTATCAAAAGCTTTACGAAAGTCAATAAGTTCCCCGGGGACTTCTTTTTTCTCTATTGCAGTGTATTATGTTCGCATGTGTATAATAGCATCATTAGTATTTTTATTGGGCCTAATCCAAATTGGCAGGGTTTGAGTTTTTTTGGGGAGAGAGTGGAGTAGATTCGTTTATGAATTAATTTTTCGAAGATTTTGGGAAAAGGGGGTGTAAGTTGGTATTGGCCTATAGTTATTAAATTTGTTTGGTCCCCTCCTTTTGGTCGGGGGACCCTTGCTTTTTTGAGAACTGAGGGAAGGTGGGGGTTCAATGGTTTGTTAAGAGTGTTGAAATGACTGGGATGCACTTGTGTGTTTTTTGTATATAAAGGGGTTGGTATTTAATCTCCTCCCTTGTTTTTTAATGCTTTGTAATGGGGAGACTTCGTAGGGGTTTTGTCGGAGTAGGAACGTGGTTCGGGTAGTTGCCGTGAGGTAGTCTTTTGGTGGGGGATCTGATTGGGGTTTTTTTGGAAAAGGTTTTGTCCCAAAAGGGAGAAGAAATCATTGAGTCTGTTTGGTTTTTTTTGGGGGAGTTGGGGGTTTACTGATTTTGTAATTTTATTTGCTATTTCTGTTTTTCTTTTTTGTTCCAAAAAATTTCTGATAGGGTTTTCCCGGTGTTTTTTTATCACCTCGTAAGTTGGATAATCTTTCTCATAAAAATTTTTTTGCCCTTCTTTTTAGGTGGTTAGGATTTGCGAGTAACGTTTTTTTTGGTTTTTGGTTATGTGACCCTTTTGTACGTTTTTCATATCGGGGTTTTGTATTAGGATTTGGAATGCGGGGTTGCCGGGGCTGTTCAGTTCCCCTTTGCTGTCATCTGTTTAGTTTTTTAGGGCATGTTGTTAAGAGGTATTGGGGCTTTTTTGAAAGTTTTAATACATTCATATATCTGTATGATTTCTGCTCAGTGGCCCGTCAATGTTTGTTATTGCTGTTGTGAAATTATTAATGGCTGCCCCCATTGTGAAGTCTGAAGGTGACTTTTGTGGTTTGGGTAAATTTTCAAGAGTTGTTTTGAGGAAAGAGGGTTGGTCTTGGAATCTGGATTATGCTGTTTTAAAGGGGATGGTGTTGGTCCAGATGTGGTCAAATAGGGAAAAAATAGTCTCTGAAAACTTGTGGTTTTGTTACTGTTGGAGAAAAAAAGCGTTACTCTTGTGTTTGTGAATTCAGTAATGTTAGGTCCTGGTCTTGAGGAGATTTATATTGAAGTCACCCGGAGTAGTAAGTATCTTTGTTCAGCTGCTCAGTTATATACTTCCTGGTTTTTACTAATTGGCTAATTTTTTTACTGATGGTAGGATTGTGGTGTCCTTTTTTCTGTCTCATAACATGAAGTTTTTAGGTACGTTTGCTATTTTATTAACTTAGGTCACATACCAACATGTACAAGCCATATATCACTACCCCCCTTTGGGTTTTCTCATTTTTTTTTTTTCCCTTCTTGTTCTTATTTATTTCTTTATTCCTCGGGAAATGGAAAAGAATTTTTCCTCCGTAAGCCATGTGTGTTTTTAAGGAACTAAAATGCCAGGGAAGGGTCGTAACCCCCTTTTCCCGTATAAATTTTAAATTTAAAAAAGAGAAATTTTGTTTTTCTTTTGGGCCCCCCTGCCCCTTTGGGTAGGTGGGTGTTGAAAAAAGAAAGATGTGGGGGCTTCCTTAAAATGGGGATTAATCAGAAAAATTACTGCATTTTTTTCAGAAGATTTCATACAATACCTAGGTGTAGGTTTGGGAGACAGCAAAAGCCCAGGGGGGTACATCGTCCCGTCAAGTGGTGTAAAAAAAGCTGTAGGATTGCTTTGGGTCTTTTTTTTTCTCTTGAACATGCAAGATTCGGTACATCTTGTTATTTACTTTTCCTTAGGCCACTCACATACATGTACAAGCATATATATACACATCCCTCTGGGTTTTCTTATTTTCTTATAGTTCTTGTTTTTGTTTATTTTCCCCTTTCCTCCCTGGGGAAGTGGAACGAATTCTTCCCCCGTAATCGCGTTTGTAGGAGGCGACAAAAAAAGCGGAGCAAGGGTCTATAACCCCTTCTCCTTATTATTACTAAATTTAAAAGGAGAAGCTTTTGTTTTTTCCTTTTGGGGACCCCGCCCCGGTGGGGTCGGCCGGTGGTTGAAAAAAGATTCTAAATAATTTGGGGAGGTAAAATGGAGTTTGCTGAGTATATTAATTTTGGTGAGTAACAGATTTCTGCAGAATTCATCAGTCATTCAACGAACCTTGTATGTACTTTATATACAATTTTAAGTGCCAGGAGCTGTGAACCAATCCTTGCAAATACAACTAGGTGAGTATATAAAGCCTTACCAATTCCACAGTTAGCTCCAGTGACAATGGCAATGCGGCCGGTCAAGTCCCGGCCATGTAAGATTTGTATACCCGTAGTGCTGCTGTCAAAGCGCTGCCGCAGGTCAGTTAAAGATTTTGATTCCTCCACAGCAAAAGCAAGTCTTGGGTCTGTGTACGTAGTCTTGTGGTTTAAGTGATCGACAAAGAAGACTTTCCCTTCCTCGGTTATTTGTCGTTCCCATCCAAAAGGCAGTTCTAAGGGCAAGAAAATTATTATGTATTATTACTGTGTATAATACTGAACTATTGACATATGACAGCTCTCCAGAATTCCGGCTTCTCAACTGCAGACTTACAAAGAATTTACTATATTCTGTAACTACTCAATAAAGTATGTGTACTCATCTACAGTGATTTTCTTTAAAATGCTCCTCCCCTCCCCCTCTAAAATCATGACTGCAAAAAGTCCATTTCTCTAAATATAGAAATTACTGTACTATCTTAACAGTCACAAATTAATGTGTTAGCAATACTTCCCAGAAATTATCATCATAAGGTGCACATGCCTCTTGAAATTCACTTATAAATTAATTTGGCTGTTTATGAAGTTAACTTACTTTACTTGGATTAGAAAACTGCAAGCTTAAGCCCAGCACCCATTAAATATCAACTAATGAAAATGCTATATATCACACCCAAAAATATTTTACCTCCAGTAACTCTCTTCTTTTTGTTGGTCCTCGGGTGATGCCACTGGGTAGTCTTAGTGGCGTGGCTGAAAATAAAAATTAATCTCTTAGAAGGTATGAGTGTCAGCACTGAAGAGAGGTGGATGTCAGCTTCTTGATGGTAAGTAAATGAGAAGAGTGTCAGCATACAAGGGTGAGAGAGGTGCCAACATTGAGAAATGTGTGGATGAGAGGTAGTAGCAGTCCTGGGCATAAGCAGTATAGGGTACCAACTAGTGGCAACAAGGGACACACTATGTTCATTTTTTCTCTCAAATAGGCTCCAGTGCTTCAGTTTGAGGATAAAATATATCAAGTGTTTCTTCAGTGCGCTTAACTGCAGCAAAGGTTATGCACTGGGAGAGGATGGAAAGAGGGTGTTGTTGATGACAGAAGAGGGGAGGGAGTATTTCTTCATGATCTTCTCTAAGGCACAAAAAAATTTCAGGACTGCTACTTGTGTGAGGGGTGTCAGCACTGACGAACACGTGGGTGAGGGGTGTCAGTACTGAAGAACATGTGGGTGAGGGGTGTCAGCACTGAAGAATATGTGGGTGAGGGGTGTCACCACTGAAGAGTATGTGGGTGAAGGGTATCAGCACTGAAAAGTATGTGGATGAGGGGTGTCAGCACTGAAGAGTATGTGGGTGAGGGGTGTCAGCACTGAAGAGTAAGTGGGAGAGGGGTGTAAGCACTGAAGAGTATGTGGGTGAGGGGTGTCAGTACTGAAGAACATGTGGGTGAGGGGTGTCAGCACTGAAGAGTATGTGGGTGAGGGGTGTCAGCACTGAAGAGTAAGTGGGTGAAGGGTATCAGCACTGAAGAGTAAGTGGGTGAAGGGTATCAGCACTGAAGAGTATGTGGGTGAGGGGTGTCAGCACTGAAGAGTATGTGGATGAGGGGTGTCAGCACTGAAGAGTATGTGGGTGAGGGGTATCAGCACTGAAGAATAAGTGGGAGAGGAGTGTCAGCACTGAAGAGTATATGTGGGTGAGGGGTGTCCCCACTGAAGAGTATATGGGTGAGGGGTGTTAGCAGTGAAGAGTATGTAGGTGAGAGGTGTCAGCATAATGGGTGTCAGTATGACAGAATGTATGGGTGAGGGTTGCCACCATGATGGAATGTGGGTGAGAAGGGTGCCAATATGATAGAATATGCGGGTGGCAAAAGTGTCAGTATACAAGAGTGTGGATGAGAAGGGTGCTACAACTTTAGAAAGCAGGCATGGACCTAACAGCAATGACCATAATTGCTAATACTAAACTCAAACCACGACACTGAAATAAACAGTTATAAAATCATTTAAAAAATAGCAAGCAATAAAATTGTAATACCCGATACCATAAGTAAGAAAGCTACAAAAGTATTATCACCATTCACAGTATTGCTTTTCAACAAATCACTTATATTTGACATCTATGTTAGCTCATCTGACATGAACAATACAAATCATTGTAAAATCTACTATCATTATCATATTAAAAAAAAATTATACATATACACCTAGAGTATACAACTAAGCACAAAATACTTTTGGCAATCTTTGCCAGTATGAATTTACACTTTAATGAGCACAAAAGATGCCATAATTTTAAATACAACTCCCATTCACCCTAAAGATTTGGTCACTTTCTCTCTCCTTGATATTTATAGCTTAATAAAATATTCAATTTCCATTACTACTATGCTTCATTACCTAATAATTAATGACAAATAAGTATTGAACATAAATCTTGTTACCACAAAAAAACTCACTGAGCATAGAAAACAAGACCATCTGTCGTGCACCGCTCCTCCCATCCTGGTGCCATTTCATCCTCACTATCTGTCTCGGGGATTTCCATTGTGAGTTATGGAAACCAAGTCAAATCCACCAACTGAAATTTTTTGTAGAATAAATATTTGTTATAAATTTATCTACAGCATTTATGAACACAGACATGTAATACAAGTGAAATAATAAAAACTTCAATGAAAGTGGAATAACACTTGGAAGAAAAAACACATTCAAACACATTTGTACAACATTATGATGTCAACGAGATAAAGTCAGTTGATCAAATGAAAATGCTGGCCCACAGATGGCTCCAACTTCATCCTGCTCGCTATTTGCATGTCTCATAACAATAAAAATGCTTTCAAATGAGCTGATGTAGGTAACAGCTCTTAGTTTGTCAATAAAGTTAGGAATCCTTAACCTGTAAATAGCTTGTCAATAAAGCTAGAGATCCTTAACCTAACCTTGTCAAACCCTGTGTAAAAAAAAAAAAAAAAAATCTAAAAAAATATTAGGTCAGAATGACCTTATATAACTAGCTTGTTGTGTCAGTATGATGTCAAGACCAAAAGCATCTAACCTTCTATGTTAGTGTAAACTATTAGATCATATGTTTCTAACTTGCTATGTTAGTATAAAGTCCCAGAAATCATCTAAAACAAAATGGATAGAGCAAGCACTGTACTTCCCACCTCCAGGACTCGACTTTGGCTAACCAAGTCATAAAAACCACTTGCCTTCACTCTGATCTAACATGTTCATACAAATCTGTTAGATGTTCATACCCTAGCACTCAAAACCTTCTTTACCCCCCCTCCCTCCATCATCATTATTATTATAATAATTATAACTTAATTCTAAACCCATGAGCCGCTCCCTCCAACCTTTCCTGAAATGACCTCTACACGTTTCCTTTCCCTTTGTTTTAGTTATTAAGGTACGTACTTCCATGAGATACTGAAACTAAGTGATTTGTGATTGCTTTCTCCAAGCTCTTCAATAACCTCAAGATTATTTATCAGAGATTTCTCAGGATTTCCACAGGATAAGTATGTCTGCAAGCATAAGCTATACAGTAAGTTTATTTAGGTTCAGGTACACATAAATACAATTATCATAGTGTAAATTGCCTAGAATAACCCAAAAGTGTCAGACAAAGTGACTTACATGACTTCATATTTAAACAGCTGATGAAACTATAATACTGACATTATTTCCATTACAAAGTAAAACTGAAATCATTGCATATTATTATTATTACATTCATAGGAGGGAGTCAGACCATGATACATGGTATCAAGGCACTTACCATTAAAGAAAATCATTGTGTAAAGAACTCATTATTACTGCAACTTGCTCAGCTAACAGAACTGCAGCCTCGTACCTGTACCCATTTTGACTGCCACCCACAGGATGTGAACTTTTTTTAAAGCTAGGGGAAACACTAAATTTGTAGAGATCATATAGTGTCTGAGGAATCTGAAGCATTCAGGTTTGATCCAAAAAAAGGGAGGATATGTCCAGTTCCTTGGAAGAAGAACCTCTCACTGGCATCAAGGCACCTAACTTTCCTTGATAGGACACAAGTACAGTACATGTATATAATAATTAACTGGGGCAATTAAAGCCCTAAACTCGAATTCTTTTATGTGGGGTATCTTGATGTAGGAAAAGGACTCTTGATCCAAGGAAATGGAGCTGTCCTTTCCCTTGGATCGAACTTGATCAACCCCTCCCTACATTTCTCAAGTGCTGTGACCCCTACAGACTTAATGCTTCCCTCATGAAAATAATATAAGGGAGGCCTGTGGCATGGTAGGCAAAGCTTTCGCTTTATGCTGAGTGTCTGTGGTTTGATCCCCGGCAGGGGTGGGAACATTGGGCCTGTTTCCTTACACCTGCTGTCCCATTCTCCTAGCAAGCAAGCAGGTACCTGGGAGTTAGTCAACTGGTGTGGGTGGCATCCTGGGGAACAAAACTGAGAACCCCAATGGAAATAATAAGAGACAGACAGACTCCCTCGATGACACACTGCCTTTCTTGGGTTATCCTGGGTGGCTAACCCTCCGGGGTTAAAAATCCAAATGAAATCTTATCTTACCGTAATACCGACAAATTGATACATCAATATTTAAGGACCCCAATGGAAATAAGTCCCTTTGTCTGACTTTCCTGGATTATCTTAGGTTTTCTACACATATGCTGCAATGTATGATAATCTATGTATGTAACTGTATTTGTATATACCTGAATAAACTTAAGTTTTGCCACCAGGGACTTCATAAATACCAGGTGGGTGAAACACCTCTCAAGTACACATGTGTTTTATTTAACCAGATGTTACCTAAAGTAACTTATTAACCTTACTCCGCCAGCTTCTTCAGGATACTACATACATAGAACACTACACTCAAACATAAACCGTCCACTTAAACTTCTCCTCACCAACCTTAACAGGACACATGACCATAACACAAGACACAGATCTCTTTTTGATGTACCCCGTGTCCATATCACACTGTGTAAAACCCCTACGCACATAATGGGCCCCAAAATTTGAAATTCATTACCAGAAAGTACTAAAGTAATGCAGTCTGAAAATCAATTTAAGACACTTCTCAGAAGCCACTTACTCACCCTAGACTAAATACTCAATATTTAACTTTACCAAAAAATCTCCGAATTACCTAAATCTTAAAACTTCAAGACTAGACACCCAAGTTCATACAGTGACTAATAGTACACAGTAGTACAAATACCTACCCAAAACAGCACTGTCAGATAAGATAAGATTTCGTTCGGATTTTTAACCCCGGAGGGTAAGCCACCCAGGATAACCCAAGAAAGTCAGTGCGTCATCGAGGACTGTCAAACTTATTTCATTGGGGTCCTTAAAACTTGTCCCCAGGATGCGACCCACACCAGTCGACTAACACCCAGGTACCTATTTGCTGCTAGTGAACGGACAATAGGTGTAAGGAAACGGTCGGAATTCCACCCGCCGGGAATCGAACCCGGCCCTCCGTGTGTGAAGCGGGAGCTTTAGCCACCAGGCCACCCGGGGCCCCCCAACTGTAACATTCTCCTCTGTAAACTACTTTCAGCAAATCACAATGTTATATTCCCATTATATAATTTAAATATTTACTATTGAAACTACTGTACAACTTAACTATGATAAATTCTTTAGTATTAAGTAGTCAGTAAGCCATTAAATCTGGCCATAATCCTAGGCATGATAGTGGCTCTTTGTTACTGCAACTCATTATTATTTAAAAACATAACTCAATGTACTACTTGCAAAGAAATAAAATTTATTAATGATTAATACCCGCAGTTTGATCAGAATTTAATAATTGGTTGTTGTAGTTGTTGGGGTTGTTCAGGGGTACCAAACCCGACACCTTGTTGACCCAGGATCCCGGGAGTCAGAGGGAAAAAAGTATTGCCAAATCGTGTGAAAAATTCGATCCTGGACTTTTAATTGTATTATTATTATTAATTATTATTTATTATTATTATTTTTATTATTATTTTTTATTTTATTATTATTATTTTCATCATCAAAAAAAGAAGCGCTAAGCCACAAGGGCTATACAGCAGTTTAATTGTAATTTTCCTCATTTGCTTGCACTAAATAGCCTGAGTCCTGAATGTAGCATGCTTGTGCATGAAGCTAAACACAGTATACATAAATTATTAAGAGAGGGGATTACAGAGATTAATGGATTCATTGAAATGTCATATTTTTAATATCTTTATTTCTACAAGTACATGTACAAGCATGCAGGGGCTAGTTGACTTTAATGACGTACTACTAAATAGAAAGTCGCTTGTTATGTAGAGTATTTCGGGCAAATTAGGTCAATTTTTTTCACAGAATGCGACCTTTCAGTAGTCGACTAACACTCAGGTACCCAGTTTTTTGATGGGTGAACAGGGACAGCTGGTGTAAGGAAACATGCCCAAATGTTTCTACCCTTGCCGGGAATCGAACCTGGAAACTCTCAGCATGTGAAGCGAGAGCTTCAACCACAAAGGGCCACGGGCCACCGTAACTTTAGTTAGGCATAGGTACATAGTACCTTACAAACTAAACTGTTTGCCGTATTTGTTGCTTTCAGCTACATGAGGACACAGCTGGAAGCTTTCACAACTTGGCCCCAGAGTGTTGATAGCTAAGCAAGTTGCAGTAGTAATGAACTATTTACATATATTTTGGTTACAGCCATAATGAGTTATTTATGCAGACATAAAGTGTCACAAAAATATTACAATGTAGTTTGATTGACTCTTTTTGGGTTATAATTGTACTGCGTACCTATGCCTAAATAAAATTACTTACATACTATGTATTTTTAATTGCTTCAAGGGCCTCAGTAGAAATAAGTCACCTTTATCTGACCTTTTTTAGATTATCCTATGTAATTTGCACCATGTATAATAATTGTACTTATGTGTACCTGTGCTTAAATAAACTTACATTATTATAATAATCAAAATAATCGCTAAACCCACTAGGGTCATGCGTCCCCCCCCCCCCCCCCCAAAAAAAAAAAAAAAAAAAAATTACACTGCCTTAGAGGTTTCAGTACGGTGTGTACCATGGTGGCCCTAACAACCCTAACAACAGGAGGTTAACTCGCGCCAAAATATAACCAGTTGTTCAGACAAGTGTTTCTTCCCTTCATGACAACACTGTCTGGCATGAACCACACTCACTTGCTGCTGGTTATCCTGGCTTAAATCTACATACTTTGCTACCACTGTCTGCCTATAACTTCCGGGTATTTGGGTCATCCTAGGTAATTTACACATATTTTGCTATGTATGATAACTGTCCTTGTGTGTACCTCTACATAATAATAGTAATAATAATTTTTATTTTGATATGATATATGGTTGTACAAAGGAATATAATAGTTGGGTGTACATGACAAAAGCCCCTTTGTATGCAGAGCATTTCGGGCAAACTTAAAATTAACTTAGGACTAATAAGGCAATAACAGTTCATATGGTCATTAGACCCTTGCGGGTTTAGCGATAGTTATGATTATAATACCCCTCAAGGAAGGTTCCTTGATGTTGGTGAGGGGCTCTTGATTTAGGGAATTGGATCTGTGCTCCATTTCCCCAAATTAAGCCTGAATGCCTTCCACATCAACCCCAGGCGCTGTATAATCCTCCGGGTTTAGCGTTTCCCCTTGATTATAATAATAATAATATGATTATAATAATATTTATCTAAATACACTTAGTACCAGTAGATTTATCAGTTACTTGGTAACCAGTAGATTTATCAGTCCCATACAGAGAATAATTACTGACAAACCACAGAACCGGTTGGGATTGAACCCATGGCAAGTGAGTTGTAAAACTCCAACCCAGTGCCTAAGCCACTGGGCCAGCTGGCTACAATAAGATTCATCCAACTAGATATATTTCTGTGCACCATACCTCTTCAAGGGGGGCTCCTTGGCGTGGTGAAGAGGCTCTTGGTCTGAGGAATTAGCCCTGTCGGTCTTCTTCCTCAGACCGAACCTAATTACCCCCCATTCTCCCCTCCCCTATCCCATCCTCCCCATCCTCCCCTTTTTCCATTCCTCCTCCTCCTCCTCACCCCTCCCTTTTGCCCTTCCTCTTTTTAGCCTTCGTGATTTCTCCCACAGGCGCGCTAGTTCCTAGGTAGGGGAAAGGACACCGGGGTCCATCCCATTCCGTTGAGGTTTCTTGGCGGTGGCGTAGTTTGCCGTGGAATCTGGATTGCCTAGGGATGTCCCGATCCCTCTCCGGTATCCCGGAGTAGCTTTGGGTGTCTTTTGGGCGACGGGTGTATCTCTGGAAGCCACCTTTCGGATTCCGGGGGTGGTGGCTGAAGGAGGTATGCTTTGTGGCGGATATCCGGCCGCCCTCTCTTTTGTCCACCGAGGTAGCTCGGCAGATGTGAGGTTGCTATCCCAGATTGCTGGTTTACTGGCATGAAGGGTAGGTATGGCACGGGTTCCATGCTGCATCTGCGTATAGCGGTTCGAGTCCCCTTGGG